GGGGAACTAAAATGAGCAAAGGTCTGGAGGCCATTAATCCTTATGAGGAGAGGGTTAAAGAGCTGGTGATGTTTAGCCCACAGAAGAGAAAGTTGAGAGAAGACATGATAGCCATGCATAAATATTTGAAAGAATGTCATAAGGAAGAGGCAGAAAGCTTGTTTTCTGCTGCACTGGAAACTAGGACTTGGAGCACTGGGTTCAAATTACAAGAAAGGAGATTCCACTTGAACATTACGAAGAACTTCCTGACTGTAAGAGCTGTTAGGCAGTGAAACTCTCTGCCTCTGAGTGTGGTGGAAGCTCCTTCGTTAGAAGCTTTTAAACAGAGGCCGGCTGGGCATCCATCAGGGCTACTTTAATTGTGCTTTTCCTGCATGGTAGGATGTTGGACTGGATGGCTCATGCAGTCTCTTCCAACCGTGATTCTATGATTCTATTCTCCCCTTAATTGTAGATCTCAGGATTTCATAAGATGCTGCTGTCATGGCAGTTAAAATGGAGCCATAGAGCTGCAAAATGATGTGAAAGCCCCTTAGAAGTTGTCCTCTGAGGGACAAGGAATAAATAGGGCTAGATCTGTGGATATACTACATGAGAAAGCAGACCCAGCATGAGACTGTGTAGGACTTCAGTGCATATCTGCTTGATCTAGAAACAGGGACTCATTGTGAACTATCATATTGCATTTCTAATCCACGTGGCCATCAATCTCTATCAAAAAGACTAAGCTGCAATGCGATCAAAAGAAAATGAAAATGAAGACAACATGGTTTCTTGGCCATATGTGAGTCCAACATACTTGTGGGCATGTTGGCTGAGGGATTTGATCTCATAGACAGATCATTGCAGATAGCAAACAAAGCTCAAAAAATCGGAATGGCAAGAATTGGATTTCAGTTAAATGGGAGTGTATGCCTTCTGTAAAGCTTTGTCTTCCCAAATGCTCTTCTAGTGTCCTTCTTCCTTCCTCCCTCTCCCCACCTCCAAAAATTATGTCATTTTAGTTTACTATACAGTTGAAGAAAATATGCCCGCACTGCTACTATTGTTGTCCTAGAGACTTGTGTTTGTGGGTAAGGAGTATATATTTATTCTACTCCCCCCCTTGCCCCCCCCCTCAAATATAGATTATCTCCTTGGCCTCCTTACTATAATGAGAGAGATATTAGGAGGAAAATGCTGTATTGAGGAAGAAAAGTGACTGCAGCTCGAGGAAGGAGTTTTACGGGTGTCAAGCTTCAGAGAAACATTATGTCATTCTCATTTGCGTTGATGGTGGATGAGCTCATTGGGGAGGAGCCCCTGCGAGTTACAGCTGTACCATGGAGCCCTTGTGCAGATTAGCATTCTCCAGGCTCACCGACAGAATGGAGGGAGCGGTGAGAACTACACCGTAAATTATTTAAAGCCCTCGGAGAAGGGATTTATGAAAACACACAGAGAAAGAATCAAATTGCCAGTGAAAACGTACATGATTCAAGATGTTCTTTGGGTTGTTCTGTGCGGGGGTGCAGGAATAGGTCTGACACTGTCTCCAAATTCCACCCCAACTTCTGGCTGGGAGGATCATGTTATTCCCAGGGGTCCATCTTTCGCTCCCTTCCTTTCCTTCCATCCTTTCTTTCTTTAAAAAAAATCAATGTTAATCTTTCTGCAGTGCTCTTTTGAACTTTTAAATGACTTTTTATTGCGTTTGGAAGAAAATATACTTCGGATGGGGACTGTGGAATCTTGGAACCCAGCCCAGCGTTTCTGAATTGTACAGGGTGTGTTGTGATTTTACCCCTGTGTTAATGGCTATCGAACGGAAGACAGTAATGTGTTGGGCCCAGCAAAACAATAAGGGTGGAGGAAAATAAAGAGGAAATCAGCATCCAGAAATGAAGCTTGGGAAAAGTGTATTGGGGGGGGGGGCAAGACTAGGGGGAAAAGACATGAAAGGGAAGCTGTATGAAATAGAAGGAGCATTACTCTTCTGAAAGGTAACTGCAAGGCATTCTTTTTGAGAGGCAGACATTTCTGTTTTGTCACAGAGAAAAACTTCACATTGTTCTCTGCATATTGATGCAAACAGTGTATTTCTGAAGAAAATCTGGCTTCCAGTATTTCAAAAAATGCTAAAATCAGGACAGTAAATAAGGAGCAACACTAAAAAAAACAAACAGTGGAATTCCAGACATGAAATGATCAAGGCCAGCTGATACCTCCTAACAAAGGATTCCCCCAGGCAGGAAGTAGCTAGGCTCTGAAGCTGCAAGGCCACTCAGTGCTAATCAAGGTGGCCAATCACAACATCCCTGCTTGCCTTAAACAGACAAGAGTTCTTTCTCCCACCCTGGACATCCCACAGATACATAAACCTTACTTGCCTAGTTTCTAACAGACCTCACAACCTCTGAGGATTCCTGCCGTAGTTGTGGGTGAAACGTCAGGAGCGAATGCATCTGGAACATTCGTACAGCCTGGAAAACTCTGTGTTTTCCTTGCACATGTGAAAAGCAGGATGAGGGAATGTTACAGCTCAAGCTGTTTTTGAACTGCTTAGGTCAACAGTAAGCTGGGCTGACAGTCGGCAGCTCACACCAACCTGGGACTTGGAACTGGCAACCTTTTGGTTGGTAGATCTTATCATTGCTGGTGATTTACCAGATGTGTTACAGCCTGGCCCTTAATATTCAGCATGTAATATACTATTCAACATAGGACATTTATGAACAAGAACATAATGGGAGTAATTATTGTAAAGTGTTTTGAGCAACAAATCCTGGCCAATAACCTGGTGGTTCTATTCTGAACCTATAGTAATTTCCAAGCAGTTCTCAAAAACAGCACTATAGAAAAACACATTACAGTATCTTGAACTACTACTACACTCACATTAATATTTTAAAGTACATTATGGTTGGTTTTTTAAAAAAAATCAAGAAATTGATTAAAAAAGAAACAGTGTAGGCAAAAAAATTAATGACCCAACCTGGTAATGATAATTCAGTCCATGTTAATGAAGACCATATATTGGAAACCGTCAACAGAACTTAGACTAAGTCAATCACTATGCATTCTTTCTGAAATTCATTCATCACATGGGAATCTTTTCTTCTTCTTCTTTACACTAGTGAGTTTGGAGTGATAGATACTTCAGTACATTATAACTCCACGTGAAGCTGCTTTTCCCTTCTTTACCTGCTGCTTAAGATTATTACCATTCATTAGCTGAATCCATGTTAAAGGGCACTGTGTTTGCCTTAAGGCTATTTTGTCTAATTAGTTTCATGGGAAATCGAAAGGAGCTTGTTCTTTGAGAAGTTAAAAAACCAAGTAAAACCAAAATAAACCCCTTCCATATTGCTGTAGCTCATCAGCAAAGCAGAGCAAACCCAACTAATCTTTTAACACATGCTTTTGAATAAACATGCTACCAAATGTTAATGTGTATTTTTCAGATGTGGGGAGGGAGCAAATTGGATGGGAGAGCATGAATAAGCTTGCATTGTTGCTCATATTTGTAGCTTTTTGCTCCTCGATTTCAGATAGACCCACAAGTGGTGATACACTTATATCACCCCCTGTGTCACCTAATTTGCTCTTGATAGAGAAACTTGTTATTCCTGTATGTAGCCTTTGAAACACCTTAAAAGTTAAAATATTCATACCAAAGAGGTCTCATTTATAGTTATACCTTATTTAACAAAGACGGGACTTCTTTTATGGAAACTAAAATGTATCAGAGGTAGAAACAACATGGAAAGAATAGGGATAAGTTCTTGTGTAATTCAAAAAAAGTAAATAGAGAGGAGGAGGGGGGGAATTATTCAATAACTTTTACCAATTTTTTATTCATGTTGGGGAATCTGAGCTGTTAGCCTCAAAATAACCCTCAGTTGGAGTGATTCTACCAAAATATAGCAGAATACCAGGAGTAAACTCCATAACCAGCAGAAACTTATGTGTGGTGAGAAGGGATAGCCTTCTATTCTTCAGGGTGACTTAGAATTGCAGAGTCAGAACTTTGGTTCAAAAATATTTATTAAAGTAAAAAAGAAATACATTCTTGATAGAAAAGGTCTTGGAGCTAACTAGCTTACTAAAACTCATCTTCTAAAGGAGGTAAAATGTAAAAAAAAAGTCAATGCAGCTACATTTTGCCTAGAGAGAGGCAAAATGCATCTTTACTGGAAGGAAGAAAAGCAGACTCTAAAACAATGGTCAACCCAGAGCAGTTTAAACTTAAGAGGAAGTTCCCTCACAGAATTCCATTACTACGTCATCAAGGCGGGGGGGGGGGGGGGGGGAGAGACAGTGACTAGTAATAAAGAGGAAAGACAAAGCCCTTTTGGGAAACATGCATAGGAATGTGGGGAAAAGGAATCCCTCATCTTAGCCCTGCCTCTAGTCTAGCTACTCATTGAGGACTAGGAACTTGATGGCACAAAACCTTGTGCAGTCCAGGGATGAAACCCAACAATTCAAAACTAACAGTATCCTCAGGTGAAATGAAATCACCAAGTAATTATTGAATTGGTAAACAAAAACATTTTGAGTCTTCTACAGATCCCTTGAAAGCTTCTTGTAAAATGTATCCACAGATTTCATCCCCCCTCCCCCCCCCCCAACCTTACAACATCCTTTTGTTATAATTTCCATTTTGGTTGCCAATTGTTCCGTTTTCTGGGTTTTTTCCCCTCAAGATCCTGAGAGTAGCCAGTAAGGCAGGCTACATTGCTTTCCCCTTCTCTTTGGTTTGTTCTTTGTCCTTGCTAGGTAAAAGATTGCAAAGGCTAGGTAAAGGATTGCAAAGGCAGTTTGCCTGTTGTCAGTGGCACGCACACAACTGAAGCAGGATTATTTTAGCTAAATCATTGTTTTGCTGAGCTGATTCTTCCGGTTTCTGCTGTTCATAGAATCTGCTGAATAAGAACTTGTGTTGCCAGTTCCACTTTTGCTTCCTGATTTCCTACTGACATGTGGGTTTTGTTTGTTTCCGCCTTCATTTTCAGAAAAACGTCAGAAGAACTGGATATGGATAAAGTCACGGCAGCTATGGTACTAACCAGCTTATCCACCAGCCCTTTGGTTCGCAGCCCTCCTGTCCGACCCAATGGTAAATGTTCATTCACCTTCACATGGGAGACATTGTGAGAAGCAAAAAGAATCTTTCATTGAAATCCTAACTTTTGTTATATTTTATGAAGGTCTCTCCTGTAAGAAAGCAACTGCCTTTTTCTATGGAAAAGCAGTTTTGTGAACCATTTGCTTACTGTGGTGCCAGTTTAGTGTCTTCCTGAATAAGAGTGGCTTTTATATAGCTCAAAAATCACCCTTTATCAAATGAGGGCTCTTCCACACAGCCATATAACCCAGAAAATCAAGGCAGGAAATCCTACAATATCTGCTTTGAACTGGAATATATTGCAGAGGGGACCCAGATTCAAAGCAGATATTGTGAGATTTTCTGCCTTGATATTCTGGATTGTATGACTGTGTGGAAGGGCCCTGAGGCAGAGGATGGAAAAGTTACTTTTTAAGACTACACAGACCACTGTGGCCACAGGGCGTTGTAGCCTAAAAAGTAACTTTGCCTAGTTCAAAACCTAACAAATCATATTTAAGTTCACAGAGGAGGGAAAGACTGAATAGCAACTTTCTTTCACTTGACAGCTTCCTCTTCAAGGCATCCTCTGTAGCAGTGGTTCCCAACCTTTGTACCTTTTGGATTTTTGCTCCCAGAATTGCTGACAGCCAGTCAAGCTGACTGGGGATTCTGGGAGCTGAAGCCAAAAACTCTAGGAGAAACAAACAGCTCTACAGGGTTTTTTTAACTGCTTAAAGAACAAGAAGGAATGAAGATTCTAGTTGTGTGTAATGTGTAAAAAATTAGAAAACCGATTATAGGTAATAATTTTTGGTTTATTTTTTTCCCTTGTACTCAGCCTCATTCTATCAGGCTCCATCCTTTCAAAATTATGTTCCTGATTTAAATATTTTTTTGGGAAACTGAAAAGCCAGAGAACACAGAAATGCCATAGTTAAGTGACTGAAAATTGTATTTGAATGAAAGGTATTTTTGTTTTCCTTTGGCTTCTGTGAACAAACAGCATTTTTAAATTGTCCCCAACTTCGAAGTTGATATGAGAGGTAGTGCTGCATACATATATTTGTAAAAAATTAATGAAAGCACTGCATAGCTAGGCACAAGAAGAATTACAGAATGGTCCCCGATGGCTCAGTATTTCAGTAATTATTACCAGTGGATCTGTAAAACAGGTAGCAAGATAATAAGTTTAACTTATTTGTAAAGAGTGTCTTTGTTTAAAACTCCCTTTATTATATAGATTTATTTTGTTTTAAGCTGGTTTTTCTGGACTAGTGATATAAAAGATATTTTAGCAGACAGTTCACTCGCAGTTCACTCAATATTTCCTTGAAAAAATATTTTACGAGATAAGTCTCCAGTGATCAGATTTACAGTTCATGTGCTTTAGAACCCATATCTAGCCCTTTTCACAGTTAATGCTACAGCTGTGAATTCGTATAGGACTCTTTCATATGCACAACTTCCTTTGTTGCTATTTGTCTTCTCAACTATATGCAGCTATTAAGGAGAAGAAAGGGAACAGGGTGCAATATCAAGGCTAGGTCATGAACACTGTTGTAGGCAAAGCAGGTAGCAAGGACTATTAGACAAGCCATTTTTGGGGACTTGAATCAAGTCAGAACCATAGTAAAAGCAGGAGACTGGATCCACAAGCAATACAGATGTGAGAACTTGTCTACCCTAGTGACAAATCCATATATCTGTACTGATTCTGAATCAGACACTGGTGGTCTTCATGACACACAAAGACTTCTAGTAAATATCCAGATTTTTTTTACCTTAACCTGACTTGGCTCTGCACTTGTCAGATTCTGGAAGCTCTTGGAATGAAAGACAAGCTCACAAAGACCAGTCACTGGAAACAAGTCATTTATTTTGTCTTTTCATAAGATAGTTCTAGAGTTTTCCTGCCAAACCCCCCCCCCCCCCCCATATATATAATTCAGCAATCCCATCCTCTACTGGGCACATTCCATTCCCACAGTGGCTTTCCTACAGTTTCACTTTCCCACAGGACCAGATGGAGGGAGGAAGCAGCCAGGTCCAGGCTGATACAGCCATCCTGACAGCACTAAGCAATGATACTCCAGAGTTTCAAAGAAACTTTTCAGTGGTCTTTGTGGCCATCTGGACAACTAGATTGGATCTAGTTTTAGCCCAATCCTTCATCCACATAGACACCACTGCCCTCACCCTTTCTCTTTGCTGATCAGCACAAAGAATGGGATGGGTGTTCCATGTGTCACCAGCCATGGAGCTCCCTAAGAGTTGGGCATGTAGCATCAGAATGGGGTGCTCATGCAGTGAGCCAAAAGGAAAGGCTAACTCTGCTTTCTTCTTGCTCATTGCACAGACATTACAGGCAGTGGCAATGTGCTCGTTTATAGTTCCATTGCTGTCAAGGAGCAGTGGTGATGACACACAACTGGACCTTCTAGGTATATGGCATCGGATTCAACAGATATGGGTTGGATTCATGGCATATATACCCTGACTAGACGCATCCAAAGATGGAGGAGCAAGCCAGACGACGTGGGGCCAAAGAAACAAGGATGCACACCAGATCTCAGGAAGAATTTGTTCCCAACAAAGCTGCTGATGGAACAAGAAGACTTTCTTGAGAGAAATTACAACAGGAATGCCAGTTGCTGTAGTGCAGTGGTTCTCAACCTGGGGTCCCCAGATGTTTTTGGCCTTCAACTCCTAGAAATCCTAACAGCTGGTAAATTGGCTAGGATTTCTGGGAGTTGTAGGCCAAAAACATCTAGGGACCCCAGGTTGAGAACCACTGCTGTAGTGTATACTATATTTCAGAGGAAGTAAATGGCAAAACACCTTGCCTGTGGAAACCTTATTTGTATGTCATTCAGTTTACCTAGGAATCTTTTATATAGTTTGAAAATTGTTGCCTGAATTCTAAAAATACAGTAATTGAGAGAGAGCTGATTTATTCAGTAATGGTTTACATTAATGTTTGATTTTCTCTTCTAATCTCATCAATTTCTAGAATCCCTAAATGGATCTTGGAAAGAAGGAGGATTTGTGCCTTCTAGTACCAGCAGCAGTGGGTATTGGAGCTGGAGCGCTCCAAGCGACCAATCAAATCCATCCACTCCGTCGCCACCTCTTTCAGCTGACAGCTTCAAACCATTTCGGTTGCTCTCTCAAACAGATGATAGTATTGATGAGGCTGAAACTAGCAGCCTGCTTTTTGATGAGCCCATTCCTAGAAAAAGGAAGGTGAGCCGGATGGTACTGGGTTTATAGGAGGCATAGATCTTTGGGATTAGCCATGGAGCAAACTCAGAAGTGGAAAAGGAGTGTATTTTTGTATTACATTGTCATAAATGTGAGGGTTTGGAAAAGTTATGTTGTTGGACAACAACTCTCAGAAACCCACATGAGTTGTAATCCAGAAATGCAACTTTTCAAACTCTTCATATAGTGCAAGGATGGAAATGAGTGGCCCTTCATATATTGTTGGACTGTAACACATATGATCCCTAGTCTTCAAAACCAGAGCTGGTGTACCATGGGATTTGCAATCCAATTCTGTTTCTCATCCTGACTAGATTCTTGGTGCTGATTTTAAGTACCCTAACCCACTCCCCAGTTTTGCTTACTTGTTTTCAAAGAAGATAAAGTAATAGTCATAGCTTTTATTTCCCCTTTTCCTCTTTTTCTAATGCAGAGATAACTAAGTAAAGACCTACAAAATTTAAATAGAGTTGCTTTATTTAAAGCCACCAGTTTTTCACAGGATGTAATAAATAAAGTTATTTTGCATTGAAATGGAAGGTGACATCTCTCCTTTCTTCAATTTGTAAGTAACATTGTATGTATATATGTATGTTTTTGTACATATTTATATATAATGTAGTTGGAAAACTGCAAATTATGTCTATACATTTGTATGCAATATGCATTTACCCAAGTGTAAACCCCACTGAAAGTAGGATTTACGTGGAAGTACATGTGCATGGAACTGTGCTTCAGTCAAATTGTTGTATTTATTTTAGTAGATTTAAATTGGTCTATTGATTAATATGCATATTTTGAAACTATTTCGCCGATTAGTGGGTGTTGTATGACATCACACTTAAAAGATCATAAAGCAGGAAAAAACTCTTTTGAGATGGTATATGCACCCCCTGATGGTGCAGCAGGTTAAACCACTGAGCTGCTGAACTTACTGACCAAAAGGTTGCCGGTTTGAATCCAGGGGAGCAGGTTGAGCTCCTGTTGTTAGCCCCAGCTTCTGTCAACCTAGCAGTTTGAAAACATGCAAATGTGAGTACAATACAATACAATTCTTTATTGATTAGTCAATTTTGACCATATCAAAACATGCAAAACATACAAAACATACACATACAGTAAAACCATATATGAATACAAGGCATCATGGCCTACTGGCCTGTCGACCCACTCCTAAATAATTGCGCAACTACAAGATAAAAAGATTAAAAGATTAAAAATTGATTAATTCCTTAAAGTAGGGTTTGGATGCGGGCATGTGTAGGTAAAACTAGTGGCATGTCCATATTAAGTTTTTAAGTTTGAGTTTTGTTGATGGCAGCAAGGTCACCTCTCTCTGCTTCCATCTTCTCGCGGATGGCCAGCGCTTTTTGGGTAAAAAGGGTCAATTTTAAAAGAGTTTTTATCTGAACCCTGAAGGAGGATGTGGAATTTCTCCTTATTCTCCAAATAAGTATGATTCTCTAGCAGTGGCTCTAGGTAATAAGACCGGATCCTGTTGTAGTAGGGACATTTTAAGAAAAAATGTTCTGAGTCCTCCACTTCTGCATCTACCTGACGACACCCACAGGTTCTCCTCGTGTAGGGAATATTTTGATGTCGTCCCAACTTGGACTTAATGTCGAGCTGCTCAAATCTAGCCCGGGTAAAAAGTTTTCTAATATAAAGTGGAAGTATAAAAGAGAGGTAAGGTTCCATGCCCACGTTACATTTAAATTTGGCAGTTCGAAAACATGCAAATGTGAGTAGATCAGTAAGTATTGCTTCAGCGGGAAGGTAACGACAGTCCATGCAGTCATGCTGGCCACATGACCTTGGAGATATCTACAGACAATGCCGGCTCTTCGGCTTATAAATGGAGATGAGCACCATCCTCCAGAGTCAAACACGACTAGACTTAATGTTAGGGGAAACCTTTACCTTTATGCTGTCCATAATCTTGAACAGTTTTTTATTTAAAATAATCATGCTCTTAGAAAATGATTAGAAGATATTTTTTAAAGAACCCATCTGATCAATAAATTGCATCCTGCAGCCTGAAAACAAGTGTTGTGATCTTCATGCTACTGAAATGGCTACAGCTTTAGCCATTTCACTTGGAACAGGTGGCAAAATATGTATTTCCATGATTATATTTGAGGAATGCATAAAGTTTCAGAAATTGGCCACCTTAGTTGTCGTACCTGCACGAAAATAATAAATTATTCTGCCTTTTCCCAGAGTCATCAACATACAGCACTATAAATCTTTTAAGAGGTACTGTTTCTTCCTAGCAAGAAATGCTGTCTCTTGATTCAGTGACAAAGGTATTATACATGATAAATCACAAACAGCCTACATTGCACTCTGTGTAATAAATATGGTTTACCTAAATGTAAGTAAAACTGCAAACATAACAACAGAACATTACAACAAATGATCATGAAGTGGCCTTCATTTTATTTACTGAGATATTTTGGCTGACATTAGATTTGTGCAAATGTGACAAAAGACTCTGGTTAGTTGCTGTTGGTGGATTCTGAATACTGTTGATTTGGATTACAATGTATTTGGATCTTTATTATACTTCTATTCAAAAGGCACATTTTCCTCCTGTTATAAGAATTTTATTTATTTATGTCTTAGGATTAATGAGCTTGCTACTTGTACCTTAATGATTTTACAAAATATTATGTTCGCTTTATGTTGCTACATGGGTGCTCTGAGCTCAGTAATGTCACTCTCCTGGCAATTTACTTTATTCTTCAGTGTGGTTTCTTAGATTTGAGACTTTAAATAATTGCCTGTGATTATTCAGTGTATAACAGAATTAGCATGTTATTCTTTAAGAGTAATATGAAAAGGTCAACATTTTACCAGCTCCAGTATATATTCATATGATTAACTGTGAAGACTTAATTTAGATTTACATTAAAATCATTGTTAGGAGGAAAATGTCATTGAAGTCATACAAATGTGTGAACACATTAGTTAATATGTATGCTCTCTTCTACTGAATTTCTTAGAACTCCATGAAAGTCATGTTCAAATGCCTTTGGAAAAACTGTGGAAAGGTACTGAGTACAGCTGTTGGTATACAAAAACATATCCGGACCATTCACCTTGGGTAAGCGATACTAATTTCATATAACATCAAAAAAAAACCCCTTAAAATTGTATTTTAATCCTAACATTTTGTCTCTTTGATTTCACTGAGATTTATATCTAAGTACGCACACATAAAATTTTGATCTTAGTGGGAACTCTGAATTGTTCCATTTTCTCTCACCGATTTTTTTTCCTTTGTACTATGACATATTTTCACATTGTTCTAGAACAGTGGTTTTTTCCCTCTCCAACAAGGAATATATGCAGCAGCAAATCTAGATCATGCATTTGCCCCTTCTCCTGTATGGTAGCATACAATCATAGAATCATAGAGTTGGAAGAGACCTCATGGGTCATCTAGTCCAACCTCCTCTCAGGAAGCAAGAAAACTGCATTCAAAGCACTCTTGACATATGGCCATCCAGCCTCTGTTGAAAACCCTCTAAAGAAGGAGCCTCTACCACAGTCCAGGGCAGATAGTTCCACTACTGAAGAGCTTATTTTATTTATTTATTTACTATATTTCTATACCGCCCTTCTCAGCCCGAGGGCAACTCAGGGCAGTTTACAAAACCGGCACAATTTGATGCCACAATAATGCCACAGTTCTCAAAGTTGGGAAGTTCTTCCTAATGTTCAAGAAGAATCTCCTTTCCTTTAGTTTGAAGCCATTGGTCCGCATCCTAGGGAGCAGGAAACAAGTTTGTTCCCTCCTCCCTATGACTTCCCCTCACATATTTATACCTCATGTCTCCTCTCAGCCTTCTCTTCTGCAGGCTAAACATGCCCAGCTCTTTAAGCTGCTCCTCATAGGGCTTGTTCTCCAGAACCTTGATCATTTTAGTCATCCTCCTCTGGACACATTCCAGCTTATGAACATCTCCCTTAAATCGCGGTGCCCAAAATTGCACACAGTAATCCAGGTGTGGTCTGACCAAGGCAGAATAGAGTGGTAGCATGACTTCTCTGGATCTAGACCAGTGGTTTCCCAACCTGTTGTCCGTGGACCACCATTGGTCCACAAGAATGAGAATATGCTCTGCGGCCTCAACATTACAACAGTATTGCCTCAAAACCATGCAACGAGAGTGACTGGTCTCTTATAGTGCTGAAACCCTCTTATAGTGCTGAGGCAGCAGGGATGTCAGCAAGGGAGAGGCTGACTACTCACAAAAGATGATTACTACCACATCAGCTCTAAATATGGTTTTCTATGGGTGAGCAGATGGCGACTACTGGATGGCACATGTTCTGTATCAGAAGCTAGATCCGATGTAGTCTACCGAGTGCAATCAGAACCCCAAATAACCAAACTGAATCTAAAGTTGACCAAAAACTGATTTGTAACCCTTTTGGTACTAATGTTGGAGAGTGGTTGTGGTTTCTGGTCACTGTGGTCCATGGTAAAAAAAAAAGTTGGGAACCACTGATCTAGACATTATACTTGTATTGATGCAGGCCAAAATCCCATTTCCTTTTTAAGATGCTGCATGACATTGTTGGCTCATGTTTAACTTGTTGCCCACGAGGACTCCAAGACCTTTTTCACATTTACTGCTATTGAAACAGATGTTCCCCGGGAATGCTTTCAATTTTAATTAACTACAGCTTTTTGTTTTGCATAAGCCTCACAAACTGTGGCTGATCTTAATTATGGTTTGCGCGAAATAAGTCAACTCTAAACTCTGGTTTACAAAATACGCTTAATTCAACAAAGCATGGTTGAGATGTGACACTAAATTGGGGTTAATCAAAATGGAAGCACAAGTTCCCCACAGTGATGCCAGGGGAGCTCACTGCAACCCCTTCCCATTATGATATTGAATTGGGTAGGATCTTCAAATGTATGTGTGAGTCTATTGAGTATATCATCGAATAAACCTAGAGAAATATAATTTGTTTGCATGTACAGTACTCATGTACTAACTGAACACTTCTATCTTAATTTATTGAATTTAGTGTGCTACAAATAACTTTCTGGTCTTTGTTTGATTTAGACGTGTGGGGGAATCTGACTACAGTGATGGAGAGGAAGATTTTTACTACACAGAAATCCGTCTCAACACTGATTCTGTAGCTGATGGATTAAGTAGCTTATCTCCAGTCTCTCCATCTCTAGCATCTCCTCTTTCTTTCCCTTCCCAAGATGTGAACAAAAATGAGATATCATGTGCCAAAACAGATGCTAAAGGAATAACACCTCTAAGCTGCTCTGCTCCTACCAACCTCTACCTCGTTCACTCTGACCACGCTTATCAGGTAAAAGCAGCTTTTCCATGTAATAATTAATCTGTTAAGAAAACAAAGAAAATGATCACATATTTGCATAATTTTGAAGCAGATAATGAAGATATTAAAATAGATACAGATTTTGGCATAATCATTCATCAAAACAGAAATTGCAGTCAAGAAAGCAAAATTGGAAGGTTTGTTCCAAGTCCCAAAAAAGAAAAATGCTTCTATTTTAATTTGTGGTTTAAAATAATGTGAAAAGAATTCATCTGCCATCAAATGGTTTCAGATCTATTTGAGTGCCCCTCTCTATCCTGTAAGTCAGGGTCATGTAAAATGGATTGACTCAGTTAAGGGAGCCATGGCCCTGAACTTGTAAGGCCTGGGCAGAACAGTTATGTACATATTCAAGTATAAGCTGACCCGAATATAAGCCGAGGCATGTAATTTCACCGCAAAAAACTGATTGACTCAAGTATAAGCCTAGGGTGGGAAATGCAGCAGCTAATGTAAATTTTAAAATAAAAATAGATACCAATAAAATTACATTAATTGAGATATACAGCTTCTCCTCTCCTCTCAGCACAGCAATCCAGCTGTGTTACTGTGCCGAGTGGAGAGGCTGCGTGCCTTCCTCTTCTCTCTCAGCACAGAGATATAGCTGGGTTGCTGCGCCAAAAGGGGAGAAGGCACAGAGCTGGTAGAAGCACTGCAAAGGGCCTCTTTCAGCCCCAAGCCTTCCTGCCAGGACCCTTACCCGAGTATAAGCCAAGGGGGCCTTTTTCAGCGTTATACTTGAGTATATACAGTAATAATAGAGTCTCCCAGAGGTTTTTACTTGATAAGATTGCTATCAGAACTGAGTTGACAGCAAATAAAACAGCAATTTGGTTTAAGCAAAGTCGGGGTTTGCCTGAAACTCTGGAGAATCCTGAGGCTTCGAGGCAGTCTGTACAGCTGCATCAGGTCGGATTCAATCCAGTCCACTGTCCAAATGGACATCACCACCATCACAGGTGGATTGTGTCCATGTTGCCACTGCTTCTAGCCAGTTATGAAAGCTCCAGCTTAGTTCCTGGCTGTCACCTGTTTAAATTGTGGTATTGGATTGATGTGCCTGCATAACCAGCAAAAAGGAGGGGAGACTAACTCTCTCCTTGCTGGTATCAGATGTCCCATTCTCATATCAACAGGGGTGATTCTGTTGCCAAGTGGTTGGACGGAACTGCATGGCTTGGCCAGAGGTGGTGGCAGTATTAACGGTGACAGCCCAGCAGGGTGGATGTGCTCCCAGGCCATTTAAACAATGGGCCCTAGTTCAGCACATATGTGTTGCATCTGACATAACTGGGACAGATTTGCATCTGGGAGAACTGGGACAGATGAGCCGTATGCTATCAACTTGGTTCTCTAAGACACTGCTTCTTAAAATGTGGGTCCCGACACCAAATGGGGTTCCCTTAGCTCAGTGTTGGGGTCATGACAATATTTGGCAAAAGTAAAAGACTGCTGAACACCACCAATTTACACAAATCTTTTAGCAACAACGTGCCGTGTTTACAGTGTACTCTGCAGAAAATGCTTCAACTGTACTCCACAAACAGCAAAACCAGCCTGTCTAGCAAGCCTTGCAAACACTGATTTATTATCATTAAATGTATGATTTTTACACATGTTTTATGTACCTGTATACCTGTGATCATGTAAAAAATTCTTGGGGAGAAAAGAGTTATGAGTGGGGGAAATGTAAGAAGCCCTGCTCTAAGTTGCTTCAGGATCTCTTTGTGTACTGATAAGCCAGGATCAAATCATAGTTGTAAATCAGATAATTTCTAGAATGTGATTGTCACAGAGTTCTGTGGTAAGTTTAAAATGTAGTGCCTCTCTGCCTAAAAGCAGAAAGAAGATTGGGAAGAAGGACTGTGAGTGAGACCTAGTCTTCTTATGGTTCTTGTAGCAAGAACTATGATTTTCATGCTGGTATGAATTTAATAATTGTTTGCATTAATTAGATATATTCAGCAAAAATGTTCTGAAATGTTCTTTGGAAGACAATTTGGAATTCTGTTTCTTTTAAACCATTACTAAGATCAAAGTATGGGGTATTTAAATGAGTACTAGATCCTGTGAATTGTGGACCTACAGACACTGTCAAGTTGGCATGTACAGCTCAGGGATTTGCCCTGGAGTAGCTTGTACACTATTTTGTAATCTAATTTTCTATTTGACAAGCTAAATAATGGGCAGAAGAAGCTGCAAAATACCTTGTTCACATGCTTACCTTACTTCTCCTTATACAAAACACTTTTGCTCATCTTGAACTTTTAAAAAGCGAGAAAAAATATTTCATATGTCCCATAATTAATGATATATCTAATGTGTGCATCATCTTTACTTATAAACAAATTCAATGAGTTATCAGTGCCAAAAGAGGTAAAGAACAGAACTCAGCAACACAAAATGATAGGAGCTTTCTGAAAATGCTGTGATTTTGCCTGTTGTGTGAAGGTAAAGAATGTGTGGAAGGGAACTGTTAGCAAATTGGTTATTTAGAGCTAGACCATTCAGGTGTGGTCTGCCTTTGTCAGACCACACCTGGAATACTGTGTCAAGTTCTGGGCACCACAACTGAAGGGAGATATTGATAAGCTGGAATGTGTCCAGAGAAGGGTGACTAAAACGATCAAGGGTCTGAAGAACAAGCCGTATGAGGAGTGGCTTAAAAAGCTGGGCATGTTTAGCCTGCAGAAGAGAAGGCTGAGAGGAGACATGATGAAGGCCATGTATAAATATGTGAGAAGTCAAAGGGAGGAGGGAGCAAGCTTGTTTTCTGCTGCCCTAGAGACTTAGATATGGAATAATGGCTTTAAACTACAGGAAAGGAGATTCCACCTCAACATTAGGAAAAACTTCCTGACTGTGAGAGCTGTTCAGCAGTGGAACTCTCTGCTCTGGAGTGTGGTGGAGGCTCCTTCTTTTGAGGTTTTTTAAACAGAGGCTGGATGGCCATCTGTCGGGGGTGTTTTGAATGCAATTTTCTTGCTTCTTGGCAGGGGGTTGGCCTGGATGGTCCATGAGATCTCTTCCAACTCTGTGATTCTATTATTCTAAGAGTGAATGTTTTGTAGCTAGAGGTAATAATCTGGACTAAACTGGACTGGAGTTTCTGTGGCCCTTCAGATGTTTTTGACGGTTACTCCCAGAATACTTCCCTGTTGGTGGTACTGACCATGGATTTATTTATTTATTATTTACCATATTTATATCCCACCCTTCTCACCTCGTAGGGGACTCAAGGCAGCTTACATATATCGGCAGCAATTCAATGCCATATAATATAAAACATAATATAATAAACATATACATTAAAAATCATTAAAAACATATCAAACCTTATAACCAGTTATTTAAAATCACATAATCCAACATCATAGTCTGAGGCCATTCCAAGTTGTCATTGCACTATGATAGATGCCACAGTTCAACGTCTGAAAAGTGGCAGAGTTCCCCTGTCCCTTGACTTTTGCTGGTTCAATCTGTGAGGACCTCCAAGAAATATATCAGATATTGAGATGATCACGTGAGATGGTATGTACAGAGATAGGAGGATGTACCTTCCTATCTTTGCCTGTGTTTTACAAAGGAAAGTTCTGCAACCTGTCAGAACTTAAGTTGTAGAAGAGACAATAGTGTTTTCAAAATTTATTTTATCTAAGATCTGTTTTTCAGTAATCTCAATTAAATTTTGAAATATATCTATGTGTCCCACTTTTGGTTTCTATTGCACTACAGAATTTCATATAATAGTTAAAACAGCTCCACGTCCAAAACATTTTAGCCGCAAAATGATGATAACAACAGATAATGGAGTGTGTTTGCTCTTGTTCATTATAGTTCTTTTTATCATTCTTTTGTAATTTCAGCTAGAAACAAGCAAATATCTTTTCCCCCTCCAACTCCATTGTTATCACTCACATAAATGCTGCTTTGGTAAGATCTTATCTTTTAAATAGTTTTTTACAATATCTGCCTAGGGTAAAAAATATCTTTTCTCTTTCGTAAATTATAAAAAGTGGATCTCTTTCTCTATTCTCAAAAAAATCAGCCATACATTCTATAACATCTTAAAAACTAATGTATTTATTAACATTTTCTTTTGTGAACTAGAACCCACTTCCTTATATGTACAGATCCAGAATTATAGGTATATATAATGCACACCACTATAATAATTATTATCATCATCATCATTTATTTATTTGTTTGTTTGTTTGTTTGTTCTTGCATATAGTGCCATCAGTGCACATGGTGCAACACATCCATGGTGTTGGGATTGTGGTAAGATCAGAGGGAAAATAAATTCAGAAAGTCTTGATGGTAACAATTCCATCAACGCTTGTCATTCACAGAATACATATCTTGGCACTAGGCCAATTATCACTTGTTCTGTGATAATAATCTGTTATCCTGCACCAGAAGTTTGAGTCAGGGTAATAGACTCTTATTATCCCTGCATGTATTAATTGACTTACCTAGTGGCAGAACATTTGCAGTGTCAGCAGTAATGAATTTGTGCATGACCTGTGTTCTTTATCAAATTGTCAGTCACTACAATCTCATTTAATTTCCTTCTGATTTCTTTCTGAATATAATTCTAACCAACTCGGTTATGTATAAATATAGCTGAAATTTTGGTAACAGCTCATGCATGTGATGAAATCTATTGGCTGCAAAATCTAATGCTATAAGTTCCAACGGATAGTTTGATCCATTCTCTGTTTCACTATAGAACTCCATAAAAGAAAGAGTGGCAGATCAAAACAATACATTTCCAATAATGTCTGATCTACAATTCTTAGTATGAATTAGTCTAATCCACTGCTTCTTAACCTGTAGATCCAGACACCAAATGGTGTCCCCTGAGCTCAATGTTGGGGTCACTAAAATTTGGCAACAGTAAAAGTTTCTGAACACCACCTGGACATTTACACAAATATGTGAAAAACAACCTGTGTTGGGTTTCATCCCTGGACTGCTCAAGTTTTTGTGTCATCAAGTTCCTTGTCTTCAATGAGTAGCTAGAGAGAGGGCTGACCTCAGGGATTCCTTTCCCCACATTCTTATGTATGTTTCCCAAAAGGGCTTTGTCTTTGCTGCTAGCCACTGTCTCCTCCCCCTTTGATGACGTAGTAATGGAATTCTGTGAGGGAACGTCCTCTTAAGTTCAAACTGCCCTGGGAAGGGCATGCACTCTCCACCATGTTCTTCTGCTTTTCTTTCTTTCTGAGAGGACACATTTTGCCTCTCTGTAGGCAAAATGTAGCTACATAGACGTTTTAACCTTTTACCTTCTTTAGAAGATACAATTTAGCAAGCTAGTTAGTTCCAAGACCTTTTCTATAAAGAATGTATTTATTTAACTTCAATAAATATTTTTGAACCTAAAGTTCTGACTCTGCAATCCCGAGTCATTCTAAAGATTAGAAGGTTATCCCTTCTCACCAAATGTAGGTTTCTGCTGGGTATGGTACTCTGCTATATTTTGGTGGAGTTGCCCTAACTGAGGGTTATTTCTGAGCCTATCAGCTAGGATTCCCCAACATTGTGTTTACAGTGGAGTCTGCAGAAAATACTTCAGTTGTACTTCATTAAAAAGGATGATCAGTTTGTTTAGAAAGCCTTGCAAATGCTTGTTTATTAACAGTTGATGTTAATGTTATATTTATTTTATATGTCTATATACCTAATGCCATATAAAGATTTCCCAAGCAGAAAAGGGTCACAAGTGGAAAATGTTTAAGAAGCCCTAATCTAACCTATAATTCTGTAAAACAGAGAAGTTCATCCCTTTAATGGCTTTAATGGTTCGTTTTGTTTTGTTTTTTTAAAATAGGCCACAGCTCCTGTGAACATCCCAGGGTCAACTAAGTTCACACCCAATGGAAATAGCTTTAGCATCTCCTGGCAGTCACCCCCTGTTACCTTCACTGGCATCCCAGTAAGTAGGAAACCAACTATCTTTTTAAAATGGGATTTTTTTCTTAAAAGTATGATACATGCCATAGAACAACAGACTGGTTCAAGATTGGGCAAGGAGTATGGCAGGGCTGTATACTCTCACCTGACCTATTCAACTTGTATGCAAAACACATCATGTGATGTGCAGGGCTTGACAAATCCAAGGCTGGAGTTAAATTGCTGGAAAAAAACATTAACAGCCTTAGATATGCAAATGATACCACTTATGGCTGAAAGTGAGGAGGAGCCGAGGAGCCTTATAATCAAGGTGAAAGAAGAAAGTGCTGTGTTGTAGTTAAAGATCCAGAAAACCAAGATTATGGCAACCAGACTGATCGATAACTGGCAAAAGGAGGAAGAAAAGGTGGAGGCAATGTCAGGCTTTGTATTTCTAGGCACGAAGATTACTGCAGACACAGACTGCAGCCAGAAAATCAGAAAGACGTTTACTTCTTTGGAAAAGAGCAATGACCAATCTCGATAAAATAGTGAAGAGTAGAGACATCACACTGTCAACGATGATCCACATAGTTAAAGCAGTTGTATTCCCTGTAGTAACCTATGGATCTGAGAGCTGGGCCATAAGGAAGGCTGAGCGAAAGAAGATAAGACACTTTTGAACTGTGTTGCTGGAGGAAAATTCTGGGAGTGCCCTGGACCACAAGAAGATTTCCACACTCCAGGAAATAATGCCAGACTGCTCACTGGAGGGAAGGATATTAGAGGCAAAGATGAAGTACTTTGGCCACATAATGGGAAAACAGGAAAACTTGGATAAGATATTGATGTTCAGGAAAATGGAAGGAAAAAGAACGAGGGGCCGACCAAGGGCAAGATGGATGGATGTTATCCTTGAAGAGACTAGCTTGACCTTGAAGGGGCTGGGGATGGCAATGGCTGACAGGCTCTGGTGTGAGCTGGTCCATGAGGTCACAAAGAGTCAGAAATGACTGAACGAATAAACAACAACATGGTACATGCTTGGCAGGATTTAGATTTATCCTTTGCCCACATAAACATTCCATTTCAGTCAAATACTGGGCTAAATCCAATGTGATATGGATGGACTTTGTGGAAGGGTGGCTTTCCTATTTCCTTTCAGGAGCCAAAGGCTTGGAGCAGATGGGCAAAGCATCAAGGGTGTTGGCAATTTGTTCTGCCCACAATGTTCATTCCTCCGGCAGGTGGATATCTTTAATGTAACCTGATGTTCTCTTCTTCTTCCCCCATCTTTTATTTGTAGCTGCATTACAGTTATCAAAAGATGTTAGTAGGAGTTTGTTCATTTGAATTTTCATTCAAAGTGTACCCAAAGGCTTTCAAAGCATTTCAGCTGTGAATCAATTAATATCTGCAGCTTATTATAACATCCAGTACCAAAACATTTTCCAATGACAGTAGATCCCTGTGTAAGTAGTATCCCCATCTTTCCTAAGATTGAACTAACTTATTTTGGATATCTTCCGGCCCATTGGGTTATATGTCCTTTGACACTAACTTGCTGGTTTCCTCTTTTCTTCCTCTTGCCCCAAGTGTTGTTTTGATTGACTCGCTGCAATCCATTGTAAACCCTATCATTATTCTCTTTAGATGATCAAGCCCTCTTGTTTGCCACTTTGCCCCACATGCAGTGCTTTACATCCCACCTAATACCAATCACTATCATAAGTAAACCAGCAATATTCCAATTTTCATTAAAATAATTGTTCTAGCATTTAAATAATCACCATCAGAGAATACATCTCCTTTATATCAAAGTATTTTACCTAAGGCTACATGTTCGGAATTTTCCATTTGTCACAAATATGTGCTAGTTATACAAAACCTCTGCTTTATGACAATGTGAATTAGACACTGATAAGGTGCTGCCTGCTTCTTCTCTCTTCACCATGTGAATCACAAAAGCCTCTTACTGTCAACCTTTGGCATGTCTTGGAGGTTTTCTGTAGAGTCTGTGGTCTCCTGCTGAGCTGATAAAAATGAAAGTAGCTGAATCAATTACATTGCATTCTGCCAATGAATATTTATTAAATTCCATCAAGGAATAGCTAGCGGTGAAAGGCGTCATGCTGGCAGCAATCTGAACAAGACACTCTTAGCAGAACACGCTGTGCATAAAATACTCCTAAAATTTGATTTCATGACAATATGGTTGATCTAGAATAATTATAAAAGGTGGTTTATTCTCTGTGGCACTTCAGAAAATTGGCACAAGTAGGGGGAAGAAATCCCAGGATCTTATTAGTTACTCTGTAAACCAAACACCAAAGGGAGTTGGATTAAACATGTAGGTATTCACATTGTTTCCACCAATATATGTAATATTTGGCCTGCGATAAACTTGCTTAACTACATTTTATATTTATATGGAGAGAGAGAAAAATTAATCTGGCAAGTTATATATTTCTATTCAGTATTTTTCAAAAATGAACAGATAGAGATGTGTGCTCTAATTCTGGAGTAGCAGCATTCCTGGTTTACTTTGTGTTGAATAGCTTGTCTATCTCGCCCAGAAAATTGGAATGTCCCAAGGAATCAGACCAAATGCCAGCAATACAACTTCACACCAAGGGGTGTAAAATGTGTATTTCTTCCATTACATTCAGAACAAGGCATAACAGGAAGCAGAGATTTTAAATTACAGGAAGTTAGATTCCTGTTCATGCTTGAGAGAAAGTGTTGTGGAAGGATTTCATGGCCGGAATCACTGGGTTGCTGTACGTTTTCTGGACTGTATGGCTATGTTCCAGAAGCATTCTCTCTTGATGTTTTGCCCACATCTATGGCACGCACCCTTGGAGGTTGTGAGGTCTGTTGGAAATGAGGGAAGTGGGAGAAAGAACTCTTGTCTGCTTGAGGCAAGTGTTAATATTGCAGTTGGCCAACTTGATTAGCATTTAATGACCTTACAGCTTCATAGCCTGGCTGGTTGCTGCCTTGGGGTCCTTTGTTGGGAGGTGTTAGCTGGCCCTGATTGAGTCTTGTCTGGAATTTCTGTCTCCCACCCTGGTCATTCCATAGATACATAAACCTCACTTGCTTAGTTTCCAACTGACCTCATAACCTCTGAGGATGCCTGCCATAGATGTGGGTAAAAAGAGTGAATACTTCTGGAACATGGCCATACAGCCTGGAAAACCCACAGCAACCCACTTGAGAGAAAGTTCTGTGAAACAGCAGTGCATGGAAAACAGATAACAACATCAAGGTATTCCCAAAAGGCCCCAGAGATGTTTGTGGTATGGCACATACTAAAGATTTGCATTGACTGTCAGGTAGACATGGCAAAATCTGCCAGTTTTATTTGTTCCTACATTCAGATTTTTTTAAACCTCATGTTTGCTTCCATTACAGTTCAAAAGAAATTCAAAAATCTTAGTACAGTCAATTCTTGGGATCTCCTGAGGTTTGGTTCCAGGACCTCTGTGGATACACAGATCCATAGATTTTCAAGCCTCTTATATACAATGGTACATTAAAGCTGTGTCTGTTATATAAAATGCCAACTCAATGTTTACTTTTTGGAATTTCTTTGGGTAGCAGAGGAAATGATTGAATCCATAAATACAGAGAATCAACTGTAATTTTTTTAAAACCCTGAAACTACATTCTCCATGTCCACAGGCTGTTTTCAACAAGAGCACCATAGTGCACCTGCCTATCATAAAGGCATTAAAGATTAAAATAATCTCTTGAGAAAAAAGGGTTTCCAGATTCTTCCCAGACCATTTAAGAGTAGAGTACTTAAATTCCCTGTACCTGGATGAACAAAAATGGTGCAGTTTAAGTTTCTCCCACACTGAAAAATGTTAAAGATCAAGTTCAGATATAAAGAAACTTGCGCAAATTCTTATAAATTCAACTGGAGCTCTGCTCTCAGAGCTCCAATGGAATTGAGTTGGCAAGCCTACTGCTGAGAAACAGGTTACTGGGTAAGCTATTTGTCTTTATGATCTGTATTGTCTCTCCCAACTGAAAATCTGTAGTCAGATATGTATTTTTGTCTCGGTTGCTAGGTTTCGCCAACTCACACACGTCCTGCAGGAAGCGGAGAGCAAAAGCAACAGATTCAGACAGTTCTGTCATCACCCCCAAGAGCATCTGTTGGCCTCAGGTAGGAGACGTTTTCTTTCTGGTTGCTGTGTGCTCAGATAATGAAGATGGGGAATTTGTAATCAATGTACTTCCTCTCCACTACATTGGTTTATATAAAGAAATACCTTGAACAAGATTGACCTATTAATTGATTGATTGAGATATTTGTATTCTACGCAGTTACCAAGATCTTGAAGTGACATATGATAAAGTCAATTTAGCACAATAACAATAATTTTGTTAGACTATTAATATATCATGTATTGCTTAAAAGCCATAAATTTAAAACCAATTAAAATCATACCCACTATGACATTTGTGCAAATCAGATAAAATCAATTAGGCTTCAGTGGCTTTCTAGTATCTTTGTATGACTCAAGATGAGGCAGGTTTGTCTTCTCTCCTTTCACCTGCAGTCAGATTCACAATCAGTCTTAGATTTCCAAGAATATTTCCAGTGACACTTTGATGTCAGTGGCCAGAATCCAGTTAGTGTTCTTTTACATTTGTTACAAAATAAGGTATCCAGAACCACTGACCAACACAACCTACCTTCCTGTTACTGGTGTGCCCTCCAATGGCCACTTATTAATTGGGAGAACGGCAGGAGGCACTATCTTAGTGTGTTTCTGCAACTGAATGTTCAGTAGAAATTGAATCCTTCTAGATCTCAAGAACACCCGTAGAAGGTCCAAGAGGATGACATGTTTCCTTTGTGCCTCCAGCTGCCTAAGCACATCTGGACACTACCTAAATGCACACCCTGTTGTCCCCCAGGCATGAAATGACCATAAAGATAAGCAGACAGTAGCAAGAAGGTAGATGCATATGGGCAGAGTGGGAAGTAGTGAGAAGATAATGTTTTACCAGTTGATCCAAGAGCCTAGCCCAGGCATGAGCAAACTTTTTTGTCTTGGGGCCGCATTGCAGGCCTGGTTGTGCAGGCCAAGCCAGGAGGGAGGGAAGCTGGGCACACGCTGAGTGGGCACAGGCCTGTGAGGGGGAGGGGCCAGGAGAGGGCGGGAACAGGGCAGGGCTTGGGCCATCCTCAGGTTGTCCTCCTAGCATAACAATGGGCCTGCTCACCTTCTCCTTATGCCGGAAGGCAAGACATGTGGTGACTGCCCCGATCCTCCTCCCGACCCCCCTGTCCATTCTCCTTCCCCAATCCTTGGGCCATCCTCTTGGCATTATGCTGGGAGGAGGGCGAGACAGGCTCTCAGCTACCACATGCCTTCTTCGAGCCAACCTCCTAGCATAATGATGGGGCCATTCACATGGGAGGAGGTTGAGACAGGCGGTGGCTGAGAGCACTCCAGAGACCTTTCAGCTGCTTTGTGCCTTCCCCCCCCCCCCATCTTTTTGGCATAATGATGCGGTGGGCTGCCATGTCCTTCTGCGAAGAGGACAGGGAAAATTAGAAGGGCCTGGGCAGCATCCGGCTCCTGGGCCTTAGTTTGCCCATGCCTGGTCTAGCCAATATTTTGGATAAAAACCTGTAAACCTTATTAACTGAGTCTTTCATTCCATTCTGACTCCACAGAAAACCTAGAGGAGAGGGAAAGAAATGTCGCAAGGTGTATGGGATGGAGAACAGAGATATGTGGTGTACAGCTTGCCGCTGGAAGAAGGCATGCCAGAGGTTCATTGACTGAAGCACAGATACAATATGAAATGGCGTATGGCATTATTTTCTTGCTGCAGCTGCGCTGGGTGATGTTTCCTTTATCCTTGAGTGCTTGTTCCTACAGAAGGCTTGCACTTTAAAGCAAATGGGCTGTAAACAAGGAGAAGGACTTCTCAGAAAGCTACATGCAGCAATATAGGAAAAACTAGCAACACGACAAGCTTTTCAAAGTCTGAATCAGGAGCAGCTATATGTACTTTTCTTTAAAAGAAGGGGGAAACCCCCTTTTTAATACTATAGGACAACTTGCCTGCCAGGACCACATGTTTTTTCACACTGCGTCGTCGTCTGTGTTGTGAACTTTGGAATCAGAATAAGCAAAAATCCTTTTTCTGAAATTATTTTTTTTAACGCGTATCTTGAAAAGTGGGTTTCTATGCGATACTTTACAAATACATAAGCTACAATTTTCTCAAGAGCAGTTCTCATAAAAATGGTAAATAATTCAGATTGTGAGCAGTCTTGATGCAGGGTCTGAGACATAGGATGGGGATATGAGGAGATTGCTCTGCTGGAAGAACAAGCAGCATTGGAAGGGGATTTAAGGAGTGGTCTCAGGCTTAAATCTCAAGCCAAAATCCCATTTTTGCTTCTACCCTAAAAAAGGAACATGAGGGGAAATCACCAGCAAACCTATCCAGAAAGTAACACACGATGTGGGAAACAATCCTGAGTTTAAATGAAGTTGGACTTACGTAAGCTTAGGAACATTACTGGAATTTAAAGATATCGTCTTAGAAGCTATTTGTACATGTCACAGTGCTAAACAATGAACAAGGACAACTGCATGGACTCTGTAAGCCTTTATTCAGGGATGTGATCCAACTCAGCAGCTTCCTTCTCAGCTTTGTGTGTTGTTATCGGATGAACAGTTCACTTTAAAAACAAAGCATTGTTTCTGGGAGGTGTGATGGTAGGGATGACTACACAGAGAAAGAAGCTCCCCGCTCCAGCTTCCCAACAAGTAAGATACAAGTGCAGCAAGGTGGATGTATCTATCTATGACAAAAGCCCATTGATTGCTAAGGAAAATAATGGCCTTCAGACTGGCTTGCACTTTGATAGGTTTCTGTGATTTAGTGTAATTTAGTATTGGATGGGGTTGGGGGAGGAGAAGGCGCAGATTATTTCAGAGTGATTTAAGTATTTAAGTGGAAATTTAAGTGGAAATTTTCGATACAGGTGTACTGGAAAGAATATTTGCATAGGCCATGTTAAAATGATGGGATTAGCACAGGTGTATTACAGTATATTATTATCAGTGCAGCTTGTGCTCAAGGAAGTCCTGGTGGATCCTGTGCTATCAACTCCAGTGGGATAAAAGTGGTATCCCAAGTTGGGAAAACAAGAGCAAGAAGGGGAGTATATGCAGATGCTTAGTCTAAGTGTACAGAGAGAAGTCATAGTCCAGATTTATTTTTTGACCTAAAAGGACAAGTGATGAACAATCTTTCTTACTAGACAATGGGCAAGAAGAGATGGGGGAAAGCACAAATTTTGATTGGAATGCAGAATCTGTAGTGGGGGCTGATCCATATGTGAATAGTAGTTCCAAGCTACTAAAATAGCTTTAACAATAAAATGCTTCTTTCGTAGCATTTCTGCATAGGATTGTTTTTCAGAATAGGTGAGTTTGAAACCCCATACATTGCTTTGGTACGGTTCTCTTTGATCTAGTCACACCTAACAAATACATATCTTGTTTTCTCTTTCAAACGTACGAAGAAAACAAATCCAAGAGTTTAAATAATTTGTCTCCCTGGAGACTGGGCAGCAAAATCACAAAAGGCATGTGCTTAATACATGCTTCTTATGACTTGGTCACTATTTAGCCTAACTGCTGCAATTAAGAAAGAGTAGGATTCATAAAAAGACAAAGATTTATATTGTACTGAACTGGAAGTTTTACATGACTAAAAAGTGAATTCCTGATTCAAGAAATGTGTAACTCAAGGAGCACTCATACCTTGTGTTCCAGCTCTAATGTATTGGGTTGCAGTTTTGTTTCTCTGTTGCCATATCTTTCTGGATATTGACAGTAATCTATTAGGAATTGACAGAGTAGGTGTCACACATACCACAACTTCTATGTTCAGTTACTGAAAAAGAAATATGAACATTAATCCTGTCTTAATGCTCACAATACTTACGGGGGAAAGGTTAAAATAACTTTGATGATTTCAGAATGACTACATGGACCAGTGGTGTTACTATAAAGCAAATTTAATACATTCAAAATAACAAACTTTTTTCTTGTATTCAGGCCTGGCAAACTTCAGAAAGTCCATAAAGATTGCTTTGAAATGCTTCAAAAATAATGTTTATTGGAAGGAAGAAAGTACCTAGGAAGTGCTGAGTGTTTTTGCAAAGTACAATAGTAATATCGTCCACCTACAGGAAATTATTTCTCAATAGTCCTGTTGTGTTCAAGATTATTTTTTGTGCTATCTCAGACACTGTTAAATTCACTATTCCTATTCTATTTCTGTGGTATTTTAACCTTATTTTCCCAGGATGTGATCAAATGCATTTGATTACAACAGCTTTTGAAAATGACATAGGATGCTAGGACATACTAGGTAGTTGCACCCACTATAAATTGCAGTAGCTATACAAACCTTGTCTGTCTGTGATCTGTTTACTGTGACATTCAGTCCCATTATTCTAGGTTGTTTCCCTTCTGATAAGCTGGGTCATAAGCAGAATTACTCCTATTATTCAAATAAACTGAGGACAACATAGAATCTGGAAATATTAGCACAGATGAGAAAATTTCAATATATTAAGAGAGCATTTCTTGAAAACACACTGAGCCAGAAATTTGCAACTGGCTTGTATATTTGGTTGGGTGTATTTAGTAGGACTGCAAATTTATTTTGAAGACTTATAATTGTTTGTAGATACATTCTTCCTGAAACTTTTGTTTTGATGTTGGTGTTTTGAATACAGAACTCAAAGTTGAAAACTGTCCTTGACAAATTTTGATCACTGGACTTCAGAGTTGAAAGTCAGTGTTTAATATTTGATCATGTATTGTATCATACATTTTTCAATTAAATCTTGCACTCATGAGGGCTAGAAACATTTTTAAAAAGCAAAACATAATCCCAGAACAGTGCCTGCCTGCCAAATATTGCCCGTCTCGTCTTTGTGTGATGTTGTTCGTAAAAAATAATGGGCAGCATCTACTTTGTTTCTCTGCCAGGTTTTTCCAGTGTATTTTCTACTGCGTGAGTGTTCATGTTGCGACACTAAGACACCTTTACAGCTCTTGTTGAACTTCTGTTGACTGTTGTTAGTTAAAGACTCAGCTGTCCTAAAGCAGGATTTAATTGCTTACCCATAGACCGAAATGGTTTTCCAGCGGTTCTGTGGGATCTGTGATATGAAAAGAACACAGCAATGGGACGGCTGGAGATTGCTTTATTGTACATAGTAACTGCTCGTTCTAAAACTGCTTACAACCTAATTGTCTTTTTTATTACTAAAAATAAATAACTGTTGTAGAATTTTAGTAGGGTTTTGAAATGCAGGAAAACCACAGAAAGTAGGTTATTAGCTGGAACTGTAAGTAAGCCAGTTTGACAGTTAAGATAATACTCAACTAAATCACTGGTGGCTGCAGTGAAGAATTCATAGGTGTGTTTATTTTAATGCTAAGTTTTACCATATCTATTCTGAAATAATCTTCACTGGATATTCTCTAACAGTCTCACATTTTTCAAATTTTAGCTGTGCACCAGCCCCATGTTTTGGTGTTTTTTTTTGTTTTTGTTTTTTTACATTTTAGCTCTTCACTTGCACTTTTACCCACCATCTCTTGTTCTGTGGACATTTAGCTAGTCATGATTTGAATATGGACACACAAAGCAGATTTAGGGTGAGGACAAAGAATGTTGCCTCTACATTAATTGCCAAAAATTGAGATGCACTTCCCAACTGGTCAGAATATTCCATTAAATGTGGCTCTCAGCTGTTTAGACATAGGTGTATTTTGAAATGTCTCCAAATCACCTCTCTCAAGGATGGGAATCACTTTCTGCCAGAGATCTAAATTCTATTGCAGCCAACATTCTCAGTGTTGGATGGAGCCAACACCAAAAAGGATGCAAACAAAATACCACCATATTTTATCTTGAATCTTCTACAGCAGTGGTTCTCAACCTGTGGGTCGCCAGGTGTTTTGGCCTACAACTCTCAGAAATCCCAGCCAGTTTACCAGATGTTAGGATTTCTAGGAACCAGTAAATAATTCTTAGGGTGGTATTTCAAACTCATAGAATATGGACTGGGGGAGACAATGTAAAACAGGCTGAGAACTCCTCAAATGACTTTGTAATGGAAAACCCGAGGTAACCCAATTGGACCAGAATTTCCAGAGAAATTAAGATTCCCCAGTCATGAACACTTTATGTTAGTAATCTTAAAACGATTACCAACACAAAATGGGTGTTTTGGTTCTATCTGCAGAAACATCTTTAAATATCTCATGCCATATTCATAGGTTTATTTGTAATGTGACGTGGGAAAAGTATGGCCCAATGCAAAGCGCCAGAACACCTCAATTACTACCACATTCCCAATGTCACTACTGGGCCATTTTAGACCCAGGAGAGGTTTTATACCATCAGAGTTACTCACAGTTATTCAATACAGGAAAGACATATTTTTCTGTTTAGAAATTAAGATCTAAATCTTAGCTCAAAGAGCAACTTCCAGATCTGGGTGAGATGAAGTGATTAATGTTTCTCACTTAACTTAGGGAGACAAGATAAGGATAATCTAGCCTACTTTTTTCTAGCTGGGAAGTTAGATTCAGAATGAACTAGAGGGTGAACCCTGGCATTATGACTAGCCTGGAAAATAACCAAAAAATACATAAGACACCTCCCTTCCGCAGGAAAGTATCTGCAGGTTGCGGCAACAAATAAATAAATCCTTGTAAATTATAGTAAGATGCTACTCTTCTAGATGACCTTGACATTCACACATATCCCTTTTCTCTTGTCCAAAACGGAGTCTACCAAAACTGGAGAAGTTTTGCATCCTTGTTTCCCTGCAGGAGATGATCCATAAAAATAAGAAACTCAGCAACCCTAAGTGACTCTAATAATCAAAAAGGTTGTATGCTTAATAACTTGCTTCCAAAACTTAATTCCAAGTTCCATTAGATATAATAATATTTTGAAAACCAAAACAGCAATACTGGTTCTTATTTTGAGAAGATTACTTCTTTAGGGACCTAACTAAAGTCTATTGCGCCCAGTGTTCTGCTTTCAACAGTGACTGCCAGATGCCATTGGAAACTTCACAAACCGTCCATGACATTGAAATGATTTCTTTTTGACTCCCAACTTTTTGTTGTGTTGAGATCTGCATTTATTATGATAATAACATTAGCTGTTGCTTGAATATCAGTTGAATAACTTATTTTATTTTGTTGTTTTCACATGTTAATTATGGAAACTACATAGACAAATTCTGAGTAGTCTCAAACAGGCTGTGGAAATGGCCCATCTTCCTGCACACGGTGTAAATATACTCCACAGCACCCCTCCCCCAGCTGCCCAGAAGAGATTAGGGAGAGCTATAGTTGTCTCCATATCAATGGCAGCCAGATACAACTGTGTTCCCCCTTTTCCTGATGATGGAGTGGGGGAGATTAAAAAGCAGAAATATAGCTTTATTTAAAAATAGAAATTTGAATGCAGAGAGATGAAGGATTGGATCCAGATATAATCTTCAGTTTATGGCCAGAGATATTTAGTGCAATTGTAAAATTGTGTACAGTTAGGAAAAATTGCACCATTGCCATTATTTAAGCTGGACAATGCATTCATGTTAATCTAGTACCGTAGTTCTCAATCTGTGGGTCCCCAGATGTTTTGGTCTTCAACCCCCAGAAATACAGCTGGTAAACTGGCTGGGACTTCTGGGAGTTGTAGGCAAAAACACCTGGGAACCCACAGGTTGAAAACTACTGATCTAGTACATTCCGAGATTTGAATGTCAATGTCACCTAATTTACTAGCAAATTACATCTTTTTTTTTTTTGTAGAAATGATAGGAAAGATGGATTAACATGACTTGGTTTGAACTTTCTCTGTACAGCCATGCCCATGAGTATCTGCAACAGAATTACTCCAAATAAATCCCTTACAAAATATATACTATTTGCAGGTAATTTGTATTCCAAAGGCATGGGTCATGAGATCCTGCCAAATTAATTATTACAGAATAAAAGCTGCTCGATCCAGTTGTTTCTTTCCATTGTGGAAATCTATTTCTTTCCTGGCTTTATATATACCCGGATCTCCCTAAACCCATACTTTGTTTTTTCTTTCTTACTTACTATGGATAACAGATTTGGTAAAACACAAAATACAAGGGGGAAGGAGAGCAGGGCAGATGAAATTGCTGTTTGCTAACCTAATAGTTGATTCTCCATGATCTATCTTCAGATGAACATCTAGCTTTAAAGTGAGCATTTTGTTAAATGTGCATTTCCAGAGTTTCCTTCATATTATCAATGTGTCAAATGAAATAATGGAATCTAAAAGGTGGATGCGCTTTAATAAAAGTCTGGGTTTTAAAATCTGGAGCCAACTGAAAGATCCCAGTCCTCTATCTGAAAATAATAGAATACTACGTTTGTTTATTTCCAGTGATCCAAATCCCTAATCTGAAATGCTGCTGGAGATTAAGATGGGCTTTTTAAATGACCATAATAGTCATAGCATTGTTTATCATTGTATAGCTTTCTGTTTTATTAAGATTCTGTGGGGAAATCGATGCGCCAAAGTCCAGAAAATAATCTGATTCCTAAAATAGTAGAGATGCCCGTAGTTCCCCACTCCAAATTTCAAAAACAGTAGATTTTAAACCAGTTTTTAAAAAGTCCTGAAACATGCTACTGGCATAATGATAGGTGATCTTAGCAGAGTCTTTTCCAACACCATAACCTCCAACATTTTACAAAAGCTGGGACACATATGGCCAGTAAGCATTAGAGTATGGTCATGCTGCTGAAAGTTAGTACTAAATACTCAAGTTGGACAAGATATACTGGAAAGGCACCTCCTGCTCTCCTCTACTATAAGCTATTTTTACACTGAATAATTTTGCAGCAATTGAAGAAAGCCGAAAATAAGGGGAAAGGTGGGAGGTATAGAGAGAAACCTGGACACTTTAAAAGCAACTGAAAAAGAGAGGCTCAACTTGAACTGTCTGTGCCAAATCAAAACAGTTGGAGGGTATACGGCACAGAATCACCAGCAAAAGGGAAATAATTTAATGGCAGACCAGCTAATAAGCAGATTGTCAGAGAGAGGATGTTTTTAGTCTTACTGTTCTTAATGATTGTCTAGAACTTGGTACAGCTTTATGTTTAGCTGTAGGTACATTTGGGAATTATGATACCCAGTGAGCACTGAATTGCTACATAATGAGAATATCAGAATGCAAGAGGTTATGTTTCTATTTCTGTGTACAAGATATTTGCACTGAATGATAAACTGAATATTTTTATTCAAATATTAAACCCTGTATTGTAGATGCAGAATTTTGTTTCTCCCACTATTCAGTCTAAAAGGAGAAGGTAATTAAAAGTTTCTTCAAGAAATAGCCAGCTAAATTGACTTCTTAAATAAAATATTTTGAAACTAAATTTAGATAATTAGATATTTTACCTGTGATTCATAGTGGTTTTAGTGTTTTTAAGATATGCAGTAGTTGTAGTTGAGAGGAAAATGACAACAGCCTTACTGAATAGTGCAATATTGCTTTTTACTCAACAAAGGGCTAACTTGTTGTAGAAAGAGCGTATAAACCACTGTGAATATTTTTGCAGGATATTTCTAGGTCTACAGAGCCACAACTGGAACTGAGTTGCTGTAAGTTTTTTGGGATGTATGGCCATGTTCCAGAAGCATTCTCTCCTGACATTTCACCTGCATCTATGGCAGGCATCCTCAGAGGTTGTGAGTTCTGTTGGAAACTAGGAAAATGGGGTTTATCTATCTGTGGAATGTCAAGGGTGAGAGAACTGGAACTTTTTAAACAAGTTTGCCAGTTACTTTGAGCTAAACCCAATTGTTAGTCCCAACTAAAGCTGCAATTGTTATTCCCACTAAAGCTAAATCCAGTAGTTAGTCCCAGCTGTATCATTATAAACTTAGCAAGTCAATGCTTCTGCAAGTTTTGTTTATCCACTGGGTCGGCTTGGAACTAACAACTGTATTTTGGCCTACGAAAGCAAACAAATTGTTTTCTCCCAAATGACTTGAGGCTTCTTTGCAAATATATTTTCTCTCTCTGAGTTTAAAATACAATTTTAAAATCCTTCATAATTTAAAAAAAATAATTTTGATGGCTATGATATTATCAATTTGAAAATCAGTTCAGCACATGATCCTGTGTCACCAGAGCAAAAAGACAGTTAACTGAATCGTATTTAGTCATTTAATCCTGGAAGATGATTTTCCTGTGTCATAAACTGGTCCTTGTCTTATTCA